TTGATGAAACTCTAACAACAAGGACTTGGAAAAGATCTCTCTTACCGTCAAAGCAAACTGCTGGATATTTTTTCTGACACAGGTTGTCACGCCACTCTCCATGTTGGTTCATTATCACACAGAATTGGTTGAAGTTTGCATTGTCGGGCTCATCGATGACCCACTTGCTGAAATCTAAATTGTTATTGAAATCTACATTTCCCAGAGCCCACTTCCATCTGATCAGGTCATCACGAAGCCCTATGTACGACCATTTGTTAGCGTCACGGATTACACTCTTCATCCTCTTGTTGTCATCCTCGTTTTCTACGGTGGCCAGGTCAGTGAACATCTCTCTGCAATAGCTTTGTGCAGCAGCCCAGTGCTTTAAGAGCTTCACAAAGTGGTACTCTCTCATGATGTTCGTAGACAGAACAGACAGACCTGATGGACAAAGGAGGAGCATTCATTTTACGAAAAAAAACCATGGTGAAGTGGCTATGATAATGTCTGTTGGTGTTAATTCAACTTAGTGAACATTTTGAGGCAATATTTTGAGGTTGTCCTGCGCTGGATGGCATGATGCCGTCAGGTGTTACTGCACATTAATGCATCCACTCACTGTATTCATGAGTTTCCATTTCACTCTCTCACACTTTCACACACTGACCTGAGAAAACGAAAACGAGCAGGAGCGTCTTCCTCATCCTGAAAAACCAAAACATTGAAATGACATGATGTTCTCCTGAGTATACGCAAACATGAAAAGTTCTGCTTTGCAAGATCACAAACAGATAATTAACTTTGCCTTAAAGGAATAGTCTAACTTATTATTTACACAAAATCAAAGATGAGATTAGTTGTGATAGTTCTGACATAAACACACCTTCGTCATCTCTTCTACATTTATATATCTTACTCACAAGAAAGGACTAATTCTTGTTTAAGTTTGAACAGTTTAGGTGCAGTTGATCTACAATCTCTTAAAAGATAAATATATATAATATAATATATATATAAGTAAAGGCTCACTTTAGAACATTCAGCCTACCTTAAAGTTCCAGCTGTTATTCCTCACTGTCGTTTTTCTTGGTTTCTTTGCTCCTTGCGCATCTCCAACCTTCACGGGAAGAACTCACTTACTTTTATTCACTGTCCCCCTCCTTCTCTGAGGTCATTTGCAAACCTAATCTCACTCATTTGCTCCTGACATGAGAACAGGACATAAAGGTATACAAAACAAGATGTGAAACTGAGCGTAGCACCTTTAACTTTAAGAACATTACTAACTGAAAGTTATTTAATCTGTTGCAATCGCCTTCTTTTACATATATAAATGATTTTGTTAGTTTAAATCAGGTTTGGCAGCTAGTGGTTGGTAGGATGAGAACCTCCAAATGTCAGACAGAAATGAAGATTTGGCTTTAGAACAAATAAATGTCTCAACAGGGGTTCACTGCAAAGGTGTTCATCTGGAACACTTTGCATTGGCATACCTGCTAGTGAGCTAAAAATCTTTGTTTTTTTAAAGTTTATATCACTGTTTTTAATATTTAATCTTAGGTAATACTCAATCTATGGTTTCCGCGTCTGCAGCATGATGTAAATGGCTGTCAACTGCTGAAATCCAGGACTCCTGTGCACAACCCGAAATTTGTGCGGACTTAGTGCAATGCAAGCGCAGTGGCCGTGCATGAGTCAGAAACAGAACTGCCAGGAGATTTTCCATCACCCACACATTTGTAATTCATCAGTAAAAGAGTTGCTGCCGGACTTGGGAGGCGCTTTGACCTGCACGCTTCATGTTGATAGCGTCAAATCACAGTGGGACGTTCTAAGTTCTCCAGAAATCTTGTGCTACGTCTGTTATCTATGTTCAGCACACCTCAGGAATAATCACCATGATTGATCACTGCAATTTTGTTTATAACAAGCTGCTATACTCTGTGAAAAACACAACATCACAGCCATTCAGAAACATCCACAGGAGCTCTGTGTGTATTTCTGTGTTTGATTGGAGGGGCAACCTTTACATAGGAGACCAACACGCAGCTATTGCAGCATAAATAGAACCACACGCATGTCCGCTGACCGCTTACAAAATCTGCATTGGTCAGTGTATGGAGGTCCAGAAACCA